AAGACTGAAATTAATGTACTGAACTTTACTGAATACAATTCATTAGTGTATTCAAAATTGTAAGTTTAGTAATTCTACTGAATGCGATTAGTACTTTGATCTATTTGCATTCATGACAAAGACGATTTAATCTGATTTAATCTTGTATAATCAATTCTCGTGAGATAATGAACATTCCAGCATTAATCTCAAAGAAAAAGTTTGATGATGAATGATGTATGCGATCAAAAAGTAACGCAGTTGAACTAAACCAAGTCACCCCATAGACTTACCAACTATAGTGGGTGGACATCTACTTACACTACAGGCTGAAACAACTGCAAGAACAATACAATAGAAACACAACAAATTTAGTATACATCTTTTTCCAATCCATTTTTGTTTGAAGTAATTCAAAATCTTAGTTTTTGATAAAAATCTGATTTGAGATTGCATTCAACATTCTCTCATCAAATATCATCATTATCATCATACATCATTTTTCCAAGAGCATCGGACATTATTAATACAAATGTTTGATTTTTCACTTTTTGGATCAAATTTTTCTTCCATTCATTGCAAACATATGAAAAGAGTATATTTAGATTTCAATATGTAAATACTAACAGAAAATATATACAGTATTTTTAGCTTAAAAATCATCCATATAAGATAAAGATATTGAAATTTGTTTTATACATAAATCTGCGCATAAATCAACACTATAAATGGACAAAATCTCAAAATTACCTTCAAATATGAAATCTACAAAAAATCAAACTACAAATTTTGATACATTCACCTCTTGAGAAGCACAATCAATCATAAAACAACTTGGATATTAATTTTTATGCTGCAGCTTTAATTTTTTGCAAAATATTCATTATCATATGTGTTGATTTTTTTTTGAATGCTCCAAGCGACGTACAATTTCATTTGATGATTATCAAATAATATCATTGTAAAAAAAGAAAATTGCATAATAAGAACACACAACATATCATTAGTTATAAGCAATTAAATAAAAGGTGCAATATGTATAAATTCACAATTTAGAATAAAATAAGCAATAAAGATGTCATCTCTCTAACTCATGTGCCAACGTAAACGACCACAAATTTTGAAGGAGTAAGACAAATCAGATTGTATAGCTTAGAGTTAATACAATACTAGAGCGACGACGTGATGTTGAAAACTTCAAGTTTCCAATATCAAATAATCTCAAAAATTATCAGAGCTTGAAAAGTAATGCACACATTTGACAAGTGATGCATAAAAAGGTTTGTACAAGAAATGATATTCTGTACGATTTCAATCAGAAAAATGAACACGGTACTTTACTAACGTTTTTTACTATAAGTATGTCAATACCTCCATCAGCAATCAACAAGTTACAGATATACAAAACAATGTGAACTATACAAATGAATCTTGGATTGACAACAATTTACAGATATACAAAACTAGAATTCTATTGCAACATGTATTTTGAATTCATTTCAAAGTAATAGAGACTGTATTTAATAGACTACATACAAATCAAAGTACACAATTTTTAAGATGAAACATAATGTGAACTGTACAAATGAACCTTGGATTGACAAGGTAAGTTTTGTAATCAAACATATCAAATGCTAATGTGGTCTAGGAAATTTGTATAATTGTAAAACAAGAAAACAAGGATAAAATCAAATAAGTGAGGCTCTTTGATGTTTTGTAACAAGGAGGTGATGATACTTTTTTCATCTTAATCAGAATTGAGCTCAGACTGCCTAAAATGTGATGGCAAAAAAATTTATATTATTTTGAATTTTTTTTATGTTAAATGTATCAAACACATATTGAATGTACTTGTCTTGATTTGACCATAAATTTTTCAGATTACCATAAACATTTATAACTAATATCTTATTGCACTCATCCAAGTTTTTCATCTTGAATGCAAACTCAATTGAATCTTGCATCTTTTGATCTTGTATTGATTTTTTACCATAATGAGCATGTTATATATGTAGACATTAGAATAATGATATTATAGATTTTATAAGTAAAATTTTTTATGTTTGTACATGGGTCATATACATTTCACAAAAATACTTGTGCTTTCATAAAATCATAAAATTTGTTTTTCACTACGCAAAAGCTTACTTTAATTCATATAATGATTCCAACAATTTACAAACTAATCTTACTTGATTTCCTTCTCAAAGTCAACTAAGTATTTCATGTAAATTTTCTTATCAAAAAATTTATGAAACAGTGCTATGTACATACATACTTCTGATACATAAACATACTTATTATTGTAGCAAGTGCAAATATCAATCAAATTGCTACATGTCATAATATTTTGTCGTATTTTACATCAATCTCTGGTCTGAAACCTCTAACTATCAATTTGACTTTGAAAATAATTTATTTTGTAAATTGTTGGATTGTTTTCAATTTGTACATCCACTTTCTATCAATCAAAGTCTTTTTTGGAAACTCTACTAACTTCATTGTATTGTTATTATTCAATGATTGCATCTCACTCTCCATAATTTTTTTTTTCAAACTGATTAAGAAAGTTTTGAGATTCTAAATAAATACAAGTATATATTTTTATCACAATCAACTCATTACCATCATTACCTTTGGTCTCATAACCATGATAATCAAGAATGAATAAATTAGCCTAACAAATTGTACTTGTTGGGTTTGATGATATCATGGTAAACAAATCTGATTGATCTCTATCATTTGATGTAAAATATTGAGAATTATGAACAATAACTTGTTATTTCAATTGTTGCATTTGAGAATCTGCTCTCTCTCTCTTTCTATATATATATATATAATCTTTTACTTGTTTCACATCATCAAATTCAACATAATCAATATAATTTTTAACAACATAAGTGAGTGGAGAAAAAAATTTAGTATAGATAACATGAAATATGTACTCTCTTTCACTAATTTAGATTGATCACAAATATTTACTATTTACCCTAATCTTACAATCTACTATATCCTATAATATATAACACTCAAAATCATTAGTATATCCAAGCAAACAAAATTTTTTGGATGTAAGATTCTATTTGATTCTATTTTTTTTTGGTTATGAGAGGAGAAATCTTACAATTAATTCTTTTATCGAACTACTATAATCACCTATTCGTTTGTGATTTAGTTCAATTTATGTCAAGAAAAATATTACAATAGAAATTAAAGTTTTTACTAAATATACTACCATATTAATAGTTTCAAACTAAAATTCATATGATAAACCAAATTTATTGAACAAAATGCACATTTTAAAATATTATTTTATTAACCTCTCACTATAAACTATCTCTTTAGAAGTATAAATTTTAGTGAGATGATAAATGATCAGTCTCTTTGATGTAAATTCTGAACTACTCAAACCATATTTTCATTATCATTAGCATGTAATTCACTTTGTGTCAAATTTGAATTTCAAACTGTTCAAAAAATATAAAGATCTTAGACTTTTGTATGAAAAATTATATAAATACAAACTTTGAATAATTATCATTAAATGAAACATAATATAAAGTTATAAAGATTCTACATAAATATAATATGTACATACAATCAAATCAGTCATTTGGAGATGTGATTTTTAGCATCAAAAGCTTTCATATTATGCTTGCTCCTAATACATGACGATTCAGATGTTAGCATAGAGTAATGTTCGAATATGGCTCATTTCATGCCAATGTGTCTGGATTATAAGGTATATACCAGGTGCATCAATGTTGCAAAGTGGTTTGAGGCTGTTGTATGTTTCGATATGTGGTCACTATGCAACATGGATGATGCATTTTGAGTACAAGCTGGTAGTTGGAGTATATATAATAATTTTATTATCAATCAATAATTATTCATGGTTGCAAATTTGCTGTATACATAAATTGGGTTGTGTCCAAGGTGAAGTATTTTGAAGTTAGAAGAAGTTAGTTCGCTGAGAATGATTTGTGAACACTGTTTTTTTCTTTCTCGACAAGTTACATGGAGCAGGGTTTGCAGGCTGACTGTGTCGAATACGTTGGTTGCTAAGATGTGTTTCCGGTTGAAGTTCTCATATTAGTTCACTTTATCTTCAATTTGTCGATTATACAATTCGTATATTTTTTTCTTGCCTTATTATAAGTCAGTTGATTTAGACGAGAGTGCTTGCGCCTCTCCCATTCATAGTGGATGATAGAGTGTGCTGATTGGAAATTATTGTTTTCGGCTGATGTGCCAAATTAGCAAATAGAAGGTTCCAGTTATGATAGTGTTAAGGAGCATCTACTAATCACCCATTGACAAGCAAATAGCCAACTGATTGATTTGTTTACTCCACCTTCTCTCTTTCTAAGCTATCATACATAGTACTCATTAGGCCAGATTTAATTAATGCGATGTCGGTAAATTCGATGTCGAAACATGCTGTCACTCGTCATTTCCAGATTAAATAAGAGTGTAAATTTTGATCCGGTGAGAGTTATCTTCCCACCATGTCATTTCTCCTTTTCCTACCCTTCCCTCTTCTCTCCAACCATCCTTTAACTCGCAACATTTCCGCCTGCGCGTTGCAGATTCATCCTATCACGCTATGTACCCTTCCTCAAGCCTCTGGCGATGTATGGAATGCTGCGTACGTCTCGCATACTGTCGCTCATTTTATCCCCTGTGAGACAATCGTAGAAGTTGGGGCCAGGTGCGGCGTCAAGGAGGCAGGTAGGCGACGTGAAATGTAGTATGGTGTCGGGAAGAGGAAGAGGATGGTAAAATTGAATTGGCATGGTGAGTTCCTTACATTCGATTCCTACAATTGATTTCGTTCTGGTGTAGGAAACGTCGTTTTGATTGTTACTGGAGGGTACTATCGTTCGTATAAAAAAAAGATACATTGATACATCCTCTACGCGACATGAGGGCCACGATAGTCCCGATGTAAGACATAATACACATTAAGAAAAAACTTTCTGTTCATACTCAACATCTACGATTGGCAATACAACATGACATATCATCGTTTGAGGTCTCAAGAATAACTTTTCAAAGGTTGGCATAGCTCATCATGTACTGGGAAGTGAAAGATTAACCACTGATATACATGCATTGCCTATACTCGATTGCAAAATTGTGTCTCAATAATAAGGTCAATTCCGGTTCACGCAGCTGAGGTCTCAAGCCAGTGTGTCAAAAATGGACTTAGTGAAATTCAATTCTGATCATAATTTTTTACTCATTGATCCAAGAGTGCATAGCACTCTTCCACTCACACGTACCCTCGGGAAACCACAAGTTAATTTCGGCCTTTGCGCTTTCGGCTGAATCCGATCCGTGGATCACATTTCTGATAAGAGTAAACAAACGACGTGCTGCAATAGTCAGGAGAGAAGAGGCCTCAAAAAGAAAGTAACCCACAGGCTGATATTCGCTTACAGCACAGTTTCAAAGATCACTGGAGATTTTATCAGTTTTCACGACTTCATATAACATGCTTCAAGGCAGCTTGTGATAACGAGACATACCTTCCAATGTCAATGGCGAGGTCACCACGAATAGTTCCGGGGGCAGATTGAGCAGGGTTGGTAGCACCAATCAGAAGCCTTCCTGTGGCAATGACATTCTTTCCTTCCCAGACCATGGCAACCACGGGTCCAGACATGATGTACGAGACAAGGCCAGCGAAGAACGGCTTCGACGACAAGTCTTGGTAGTGCGTCTCAGCGAAGGACTTATCTACAGTCATCAACCTCATAGCTGCACGACCCATTCCAGAAAATTCAATGTGGATCCTACTACTAAGAATTCAAGGCAATAGACTGTAGAGTCAACACTAAAACTTCAGCCACGGCTAAAGAAAGACAATGGCTCGTCCGATCCATAAATATGCCGCACGTTTCCTCGTTCAAATAGGATAGATCAAAGACAAACTATGGGATCGAAAGGTAAAAACTGTGACCCAGATTTTCTCGCAAGGTCCCCTGGATAGAAAGGAATGATTTGCACATGGAGATGAGCTATACGCGCTTGCAAACTGTTCACAATCTACTGATACACTGAAAGCGCAGAGTGTCACAGCCAGCTTCAATAAAAGTGTTCTTAAAGACGATTCGGCCAAGGAATGACACTGACCTCTCAGAGTAAATCCCTTCTTTTCGAAACGGGAGATAATCTCCGCGATCTGCAGAAGACAAAAGTCCAAAAGTCTATTGTTAAAACAGCCAGGTGCATATCAATGGTGACGATAGGCAGATTTACGCGAGTGGCAACAAGGAGTTAGGTCAAGAAAGCGTCTTATGCAGAGTACGATTTAGAGTCTGCAACTTTCGGCGAACGGTGAATAAGACACACATAAAGGGTGCATATCTGCAGTGAAAACGGAGTCCAAATGTAGTCGGAATCTGCATTTTAATGACCGGCACTCGAAGCTGTAGAAGAGATTGATTTCGGAAAGATTGCAGCGAGCGTTGCAGAACGTGAGAACGATTAGACTGGTCGCACAGACGGCCCGCCGACGAGTGACATGACTAACGAGGCTATTGACACAGCGCTCTATGTTTGAATGAGTACAGTCCATCGACACCACTGAGACGTAAAAGGACTTTATAGAGCTATGACCGAACGAAAGAAAACTGATAAGAGACACGGGTAATGTCCAAGGCCCTTGGCCACACAACTCAAAGGCTGACATGAAAATCAAACCTAAGCATTCAGATTTAGAGCATACGACGTACCAATCCTCTCTGGACACCATCGGGCTTGATCATGATGAAGGTCTGTTCCACCATGGCTGCTTGCTTGTATATCACAGGAAAAACTACTCGAATTCGGGAAGAGAAGCGCTCTTCGCGATTCGACGAAGTTCAGCTGGATGAGAAAGAAGGACGTTGAGGGAGAGCTGAAGCTTCGAAGGTGGCTGCAAACTTATTTTCCGAGACAAAGGGCTCCAAACCCTCTTGGCACCAGAGTGTACGGCACTCTCTTGATCTGACGGTGCAGATGCTGCCACTCTTACGTGTTCGCCCATGTAACGCCGGCCCTCGGCTCGAGCCGCAGGCCCATTGACAGCAGGTCAAAGGCTGGGACTACCGGGTGTTGGGTGTGGGGTGGAGCAGATTGACAGCGGTGAAAATGTTAGCATCAATCAGTGTTATGATTCTACATTGTAACCGGGAAAGCATCCCGGTCAGAATACAAGACGTGATAGACGCGTCTCTCCGTGTGGATTCAGGATGTAGGAGAGGGAATTCGCATATTCCAATTGTTCTAATATATTATGCGGACATTCAGGTCCTTACGGCATTCTAATATGTCGTAATTCTGACCTTCCAGATTAGAACGTGTGGACCGACTAAGCGAGACAGTAAGCCATCTGCAATCAATTGCAGCCAGTGCTGATTTCGATCTCCTAGATATGATAGCAATGTTCCGCCTTGCTATCAAGAAACTAAGAGTTGAATGAGAGTGCGGTGAGGCTTCAAAATAATTAAAATTGAGATAATACTTCATAAAACGGCAGGGTTATAATAGTGACTTGTTTAAATTACCTACATAGGGTTAATTTAGTCTACTCAAAATTCGATAATTTAGATTCTCAAAAAGCTAATCTGGTTTACTAAAAAAATTAATTTAGGCTAGTTTAGTTTACTCAAACAAATTTATTTAGACTAATTTTTATGTAAATTTTCTGCTAAACATTTTTCAATGGTTGAACTGTTCTATGAACAAAAATTGTTTTGATTCCATGACGTTTTCTAATCTAAAATTTGATAACCTTTTGCAAAACAAATTTTTCTTCCCATGCAAAATTGAAAAATTATATTCTACCCTACTAGTTTTAGGAAAAAAGGTTATAACTACACTACAATATTCCAACAGATTTGAAAATCTAGTACCAAATGAAAACCAGCAATCATTGAAACTTGAACGATTGGAAAAGGAATCGACTAGATGAAGCTCTTAATCAGTGGTTCACATCTATGAGCATGGATTGGAGTTTTGTGCTTATCGATTATAATATAAATTTGATCAGATGAATAACAATGCTTCAATTGAAAAACATGTTGCCAAATCTTTTAGATAAAATTTGCTGTAGATAGCTTGATAAAATCATATGGTGGCGCTAGAGAAATATAACCAAAATCAATCATAGCATTGTTGTTTTGATCTCGATAAGTGTAATAACCCACTAAAGGCCAAAACTGCAATATAGTGGTAGAAAGGTCGAACCCACAGGAACAGAGGAACACACAGGGTACAAAGTGTCACATTTAACAGACTATTGAGGAGTTTGAATTCTCACGCGACTGTCACTCCCAGAAATACTGCAAGTGTTCACTCGGAGCTCACTCGGAGGTCGCACAGTGCAGCGTAGTCCACTCAACACACACACACACACACACACCTGAAACTACAGAAACACAACCCAGAGATCGGTTAGGACCTCTACTTAAGATTTCAGGGGGGAAAGTCTCTCGTGAGTACACTCAGCGAATCTGCGGGTAGTGACTCCCAACTCCGGCTTTTACAACCCTTCCACTAGCTTTCTGCTAGCGTAGGGAACCCGGATTGGACTTCCTACTTCGGATCGAAGTCACTCACACGCGGTGAACAACACTCTCAACTCACAAAACGCGCAGAGAACACAGGTCCGCACGGAAGGACTCACTGAGAAACGTTCCAGTAACATACCATAACAGTCTATTGAAGAGTTTGAATTCTTAGGCACTTGTCATTCCCATAAATACTACAGGGGTTACCCTGAAGGTACCTGCTGCAGCGTAACCTGAATTTACAACCAAGGCTTCCACGAAGTAGCAAAACTTCACTTTGGCATTAAGGGGAAAAATCCCGAAGGAGTACAATCAGGAACAATCATTCGAAAGTGTAAGGGGGAAACTGTTCAAGTATCTAACTCGTAACTGGCTCTAAGCATCGGCAATCACCTGCAGGTGTAGATCCAAACTACTCGAGTCTCTAACCAGTGTACTAGCTCTGAACATTCAGCCGAAGGCCTTCAACTACACAATGCGGACCGCCAAGGTGTAGCTCATTGTGCGTGGTGACAGAACTAAGGACACAAACACGCAGAGAAAATGAGTTCATGATCTGCACTTCCGAAACTGGAAGAATCCCAAGGCAAGACGCCTTGAACTACTTTATACCTTCTAAGTCCTAACCAACACTATACTGCACTATGCTACGCGCCTGCACGGAACCACGCTACACTACACTCCGCAGATCCTGTGCTTCGCCTTCTGCGCGACGGACTGCCGCGCACTAACTCTCTACCCTGCTAGTCCTCCGCTCGACTGCGCAGTCCCAATCGCCGCAACACAGCGGAAACCTCCGACTCGAGAGTGGCCATGGTGTCCCGCGACTTCGACAGAAAAGAGTCCAGCTTCTTCGCCACTCGCCGCCGGCTCCGACTGTCACCTGACAATAACCCCGCTGCACGAAGCTCTAACTCGCGCAGTGTGAGTTTCTCCTGCGCCGCCACTTCCCAGTGGGCTTAGCCCCTGAGACAATGGGCGACTCGTCTCGCCATCTCTTCCTTCGTGCGATCTGCCTCCCGCCGGCGATCGTCTTCAACTACAACCAACTGCAATTCGGCCTCCGCACGCTACGCTCTCAATTCCCCGCACTCGGATTGCAGTGTGCGGATTAATTCCTCATCCGCCTGCCGTGCAAGCTGACATTGCTCTAACAACCGTGTTTGTCGCACGAGCTCCTCTGACAAAATTCGATTCTAAGCCTGCTCAAAATCCAGCTCCTCTGCTAACTTCGCCTTTGCCTTGGCAAAATTCTCCAGCTTCTCATCCTTCATCCTGTCGAGAGCTTTGTACACCTTCTTAGTGAGGTTGTACTGACCCCATAGGCAATCATGCTTCTCCCGCAGATCCTTAAGTTCCTGATCCACTCGGCCCAACAACTTGCTAGTGTGGACTTTAGTGCGGGTTCGCCTCCTCACTAGCTCGACGTAGGATCCAGGCTGGCGAGGGTCCGCTTACTTCTCCACTTTGCGATCCAGGTACCTCAACAGAGGTACTACCTGCTCACAGAGCGCCGCCGTCGGTGTGCCTACAATTTTCTGCTCCTCCTCCTCAGTGGATTCCGATCCTGACACTGATTTCGTCAATCCTCCTTCTTCGTCATCCTCCGAATTGAGGATTTTGGTCGCCATTGAATTCGTCGGCGACTGTCCTGTGCGGGGCTGCGAGATGTCTGCGTCCTCTGCCGCCACTGGCGCTCCGGCAGCCTCGCTGCTCCCTGCTAGAATGTCCAAGGCGGTGGGTGAATGCGGTGGTGCCGAATTCACATCACCCGCCTGCCCGGCTTCGACTGTAACCTCATCGTCGCAGGCGTCTACCGCCGAAGGCGGTCGTGCGGAATGTACCTGCGCGGAGTGCAATTGTGCATCGCGCACACGAATTTTGTCCTGCCGACAATCAATCCGCTCCCCTGTTAGGTCCCGCTCCTTCAATCGGTCCCGCTCCACCATTAGGTCCTGCGCCAGGGGTGCGTCCTGCCTATGCGTAGGCGCAATTCCCGGCGGCGCTTCCGCCGAGGGCGGCTCGCCCGATGTCCCTTGGCCCGAAGGCCCTTCCGCCGAAGGCGCACCTTCCGGCGGATTTCCCGCCGAGGGCGCGGTCCCCGCCGGCTCTCTGCTCATAACTCGGTGGCCCGAAGGCCCTGGCGCCGAAGGCGCATGTCCCGGTGATCTCACCGCTGAAGGGCCTTGCCCCGAAGGCCCTTGAGCTGAAGGCGGATCTTCCGCCGGCTCCTTGCCTTTCCTGCGTTGCACCGGGGGTGAGTCTTGCCTATGCGTAGGCGCTCGCCTATGCGTAGGCGAGTCTCCGTCCGCAAGGAGTCGCCTATCCACAGGGAGTCTCCCGTCCGCAGGGAGTCGCCTATGCGTAGGCGGCACACTCATCCGTGCCGCACGTTGTTGCTCCTGACCCGAAGGTCGTCCAACCTCCGCCGAGGGCGTAGGGAGGTTGTAATAACCCACCAAAGGCTAAAACTGCAGTATGGTGGTAAAAAGATCAAACCCACAGGGACAGAGGCAACACACAGAGTACAAAGTGTCACGTTTAACAGACTTTTGGAGAGTTTGAATTCTCAGGCGACTGTCACTCCTAGAAATACTGCAGTGCTCAACTCGGAGGCCGCTCGGAGGATGCTCAACTCGGAGGTCACTCGGAGGATGCTCGACTCGGAGGATGCTCGGAGGATGCACAGTGCAGCGTAAGTCACTCAACACACACACCTAAAAACTGGAAAAGCACAACTCGGAGGTCGGTCAGGACCTCCGCTTAGGATTTCAGGGGGAAAAGTCTCTCAAGAGTACATTCAGAGGCTCTGCAGGTAGTGACTCCCACTCCGGCTTTTACAACCCTCCCGCTAGTTTCTGCTAGCGTAGGGAACCCGGATTGGACTTCCCACTTCGGAACGAAGTCACTCATACGCGGTGGACATCACCCTCGACTCACACCAAGCGCAGAGAGTACAGGCCCGACTGAGAGACTCAACTGAGACACAATCCAGTAACACACACACCACCACAGTCTATTGAAGAGTTTGAATTCTTAGGCACTTGTCATTCCCAGAATTACTACAGAGGTGTACCCTGAGGGTGCCTTCTGCAGCGTAACCTGAATTGATAACCAAGGTTTACACGAAGTAACAAAACTTCACTTTGGCATTCAGGGGAAACGTCCCGTAGGAGTACAATCAGGATAAGTCACTCGAAGGTGTAAGGGGGAACTGCTCAAGTATCTAACTCGCAACCGGCTCTGAGCATCGGCAACCATCCGCGGGTGTAGATCCGCACTACTCAAGTCTCTAACCGGTATACTAGCTTTGAACATTCAGCCGAAGTCCTTCAGCTACAAAATGCGGTAACTTCACTAAGTTGTAGCTCCTCTACGTGGTGCCAGGACTAAACGCACAAACACGCCGAGAAAG